CCCACTAGCTTCTTTGGTATACCAAATTCAATAAGAATATTATATAGCACTTCTCTCTTCACAGAGTCATAGGCTTTTTGAAATCTATAAATAATTGATGTACGGTCCCACTGAACTCTAATTTTTTTCTCTAGTATCTGACGAATGCAAAAGATCTGATCAATCGTTGATCTGTTTCGTCTGAACCCACACTGATGATCCCCAATAATTTCATTCGCATATGGGGTTAACCTTGCCAAAAGAATGTTGGATAGAATTTTGTATGAGGTTGATAGCAGCGATATTCCTCGGTAATTACCACACTCAGTCTTGTCCCCCTTCTTATGAATAGGAATAATTATGGATTCCTTCCATTGTTGTGGCATCTCTTCCTTATCCCAAATTAACTGAATAAGCTTATGGATCCTCATATGCAACCCTTTGCAACCTGCTTTAATTAATTCTGCTGGAATCTGATCAATTCCTGGAGATTTATAACTTTTCAACTTCCCAATGGCTAGTTCTACTTCATCTAAACTAGGTTCTGGCACCAACAGTTCACCTGTATGTATTTTAATCCTTCTAATATCACCAGTCTCATGAACATTTAAGAGCTCGCTAAAAAATTTTTTCCACCTATTCACAATTTTTATTGGATCTGCAAGCAAATTGCCACTATCATCCTTTACCAAATTGGTCTGGGCTTGATATCCTTTCTTAAAGTTATTAATGCCTCTGTACAGGTCTCTGATATTTTTTTCCTTATTATTTGTCTCAAGTTCAGCAATTTTGCCCTTCAGGTATTCCCTTTACTTATTCCTAAAGGTTCTACTAGCCTCACGTTACACAGATTATCTGCATTTGTTTTATTTGGATACTGCAACCATTGAAATTTTGTTTGCTTCCTTCAATCTATTAATTTGGAACATTCTTCATCAAACCACAGTTTATTTTGCTTTCTCCAAAAGAAAGACATAAGAAGAAATAAAATAAAATTATGTTCACAGTGAATTAAGCAAAGTAAATAGAAGAAGAGAACTGTTCTTGTCTTGGCTGCCTTATAAAATACTAGTGATTAAAACTCGCATAAATTGTTTTGTTCATTGTTTTGCAGGACTATGATCTTCTGAGGGCAAAATTCATATTACTTGTATTTGTAAATGGTATAAGGAAAGTGTTTGGACATAATAGAAATTATATTAATTGATAGAAAGAAAAAATTGCATTCATAGAAGCTTATGATTTATATCCTAATATTGTGAAGGTTGTTAAATGAAAGGTATGATAGTCATGTAAGAAGGAAACTAGCATATATATAACATAAAGTGAAAACTAGTGAAAATAGCCACATAGAAGACTGGCTTTACCAATACATTGTTATCATCTCCTCAGAGATGATAACAATAATGGATCTTGTGCATTAGGTTGTTCTGTTTGGAGTTGACTTCAATGTCAGATTATAATACCACTGAATTTGTGTGTTTGTTGTGCTCATATTTTAAGCCTGTTTACTTAATACATCTGGGCAAATGCGAAATTTTTTATAGGTTGGTCCAACTGCCATTCAGATAACTTCATCTGAGAAGACTAAAGTGTTGTCTCATTCAGTTCTTCTGAATGATGTTTATTATGCATCAGAGATTGAGGAAGTTTGCTTGGTAGATGACAACCAGTTTACATTAACAATAGCTAATGAAGCGGGACCATTATCATTTATTCACAATGATTGTGATAACATTGTGCAAGCCATCATACACATCCGGAATCGATGGGAACTTTCACAGCCAGTAAGTTTATTTTTTTAAATGAAAAAGTGACTTGAAACCAATGTTAAATAATTAATAAACATAATCTCCAACAAAATAGAAAATATGTTAAGTATTTGAGCAAGATGAATTATTATTAACATTATTTGGGCCTGTCTGTTCTGTGGAAAAGAGCTTCTTAACTTTTCTTGAACTGCAGATCTTCACTGAAACATTTTTATATACATCTCATATTCAAGTTGCTCACTATGCAGCTACTTTGTATGTTCCTGTTGTATTGACATATACTAGGAATAATATTTGAAAATATGTTCTTTATAATTGTCCTCACTTGCTCCAGGCTGATGAATATATAACATTAAATTAGGCCAAGACCATTTTCTTCCACATTCTTTTTTTGTTCAATTTTTACTACTCAACCTATTTGACTCTATAATTTGAGCTATTGACATTGTCATTAAATAAACTGTAAATGAATAAATACTCTTGGAATTTTGGTTTGTAGCCTCGCTCTGCATGCTGTATGCTGTACACATAACTTCCTAGTTTTTTGTATGAGTAAAACCAAGAACAAATATAATTGTCACACCTAATTGTTTCCTCTGCTGGATTAATTGTGTGACACTTGTATCTATTCTCCAACTTGTGTTCTAGGACTCGGTGACAGTTCACCAGAAGATTCGACCCAAGGATGTCCCAGGAACATTACTCAATATGGCACTATTGAATTTGGGATCTCCAGACCCAAATCTTAGAACAGCAGCCTACAACCAACTCTGTGCTCTTACTGCAACATTTGATTTAAAAATTGAGGGCCAATTACTTGAGACATCAGGTAGGCCTTTGTTAAATGTTTGTATTGGTCACATTATAAGAAATGAACAAGATGTTAAAAGTTAGACATTTCTGTATGCAGTGGAAGGATTTATATTTCATATTCATAGACTTCCTAGTGACATGGATAATTTTTAGTATATTGAACACCCAAAGCTGGCATTTATTTTAAACACTTACCATATTATAATAATTTTTAAACTAGTAAATTAAAAACTTTGCCACTATACTTGTGATTGTACTTGAAAATTCTGTGATTTTACAGTTCAGTCAGTCAGACCAGTGCCATAGGTAGGTGAATAACAGGAAGACCATGCCATTCTGTGCCAGTGGATTAACAGCATAACTTTTTCTTGAAACAGATTGAGTTTTTTTGACATTTGCCTAGTAATTTAGGTGCATTCATAACCCTGCAGAGTGCCTACTAAAATCACAATGTCTGTCCATATGCATGAAACAACTCAAGAATGGAGATAAACAAATTTTGATTAAATTTGACAATGGGGAATTTTGTAAAAATTGTCATACCATTTCAGTTTTAATTTTGGTCTTATATTTTTTCATTGCAAATTTGGTAAGCTTGAATCTCTGAATTATGAAGGAGTGGGGGAATATTCCAATCTCTTTGCATCAGAGAGTCTTTTTCATTGCTTTAAGCTGTATGATTTCTTTGTTTAGTATGACCACTGAACTATCTTGTATGCTTATTATTGTCTTTCAAAGATTTTCATGACATGCAAACATACTCTATATCTATTGGTGCCCTCGCCATAGAAGCAGAATGTTAATTTATACATGTTGAAACTGTTGAACTGCTTCTCTGGAATACTTTGGCTTTGGCAGAAATTCTGGGGATGCTAAAGGAATTTTAGCGTGTTGAACTTATTTCTTTATATTTTAGGTATATGTATTCCATCAAACAACACACTGTTCATCAAATCTGTAAGTGAAAAGCTTGCAACAAATGAACCCCATCTCACTCTTGAGTTTTTAGAAGAGTGCATCCAGGGGTTCAGAGTTTCCAATATTGAGCTCAAACACTTGTGCCTTGAATATATGACACCATGGTTAGCAAACCTAGTCAGGTTGGTATTTTACCACGTGTTTGTGTTTTGTCTAGTGTATCATGTGGATTAGGATTGTTATTGTATATAATTTCATGCTGGCATGTTTTATTGATTGTGTATAGGTTCTGTAAACCTTCAGATGAAAGTAAACGCCAACAGAAAGTGGCACAAATTTTGGAGAAACTTATAATTTTGACCATTGAAGAGGTGGAGATGTATCCATCTATACAGGCTAAGATATGGGGATCCATTGGTCAGGTATGTTATATATTTTGATTGTACATTCTTAATGGGTAATTCTCTTATTTGGCTTTATGTAGCAATGGGTTTCCTTCTTCAACTTTAACATATAAAAACAATAGTAATCTGAAGTCTCTGTAGCTGAAAAACACTCTTCAAGGATGAACACTTTTATCTTTTGAGCTATGAAATAATCTATAGTTTATACTGTGAGTGAATGAGTTGTGCCTGTGGTCTAAAAGAAGTATTTAAATATCTTCTCAGGTTAAGAAATATTTTTCTTTCTTGGGTATTTACGTAAGGTCAAGTAGAATGAAGCTATCCCGCAGGATGTGGTGGTGATGCTGGGGGTTTAGCTCCTCATTCTTGACCATAGCACTAGTTGGGGTTAGTGGTCAGCATCATGCCCCTGCTGTGCTTTACCCATTGGATAAGAGGCTGCATGGGCCCCAGAGCTGGTCTGGATACAGAGACTAGAAAAAATCTTTTATTCCTGCCGTGGATTGAATTCTGATTGTCTGGTCCTTGCTTAGACACTATGTTGACTGAGCTTCCCTGCCTCTGTCTTGGTTAATAGACAGACATAATATATGGACAAGTTATATGGGTGGGTGGGTACATAGATTGATAGATATATAGACAGACAGACAGACATACAGGTGATTAGTGGGTTATGGTTTTATGCATTCCATGAATCCTGTTTAATTAGGATGTGGAACAGTACATAGAAAAAGCACAAGACACATGATACATGTAATTCTTACATAAATGAGAAGTTCCATGTAATTATTCCACTGTGAGTTTTACAATTTCATATGTAATTACTAAATTACTGTTAATTATGCAAGGTTTATAAATTCATCAACAGGGTTAAAGGTGTATAACAAAGAAATTATTTTGATGCTAATTGAAATTGTCTTTGGTTAGTGAATTAACTTTCAGTTGTTACCAGGAACTTGTTATACGGTTTCATTCCTGCATAATGTACCTTTCTGGTGCATTCTAAAATTAAGTTGGTCTGTGAGATCATCTGTTTCTAGTGTGAAGATTATAAATCTTTGAATTTAATTGCATTGTAAACTTTTTAATGCATTTAAAATAAATATTAAAATTTTTAGTAATATCCTTAAATGTCATGGAATGGAAGTGTGTGTCATATTGTATATGCATCAAACTTCCAGATTGTTATTTAATTAAAAATTAATATTATTGTATAGCTTTTGTTAAAGTCATTAATCCTATGGTAAGTAACTTAATGAAGATTATTGACAGGTTTGATTCTCATGAAATGACAAATTGTTACACAGGTACCTGAACTTATTGATATGGTATTGGACAGTTTTATACATCGTTCAGTGACAAGTGGGCTTGGCTCACCCATGGTGGAAATCATGGCAGATACTGCTGTTGCTTTGGCTTCAGCCAATGTTCATCTTGTAGCTAAGAAAGTGATTGGAAGACTGTGTCGGGTAAGATGACGCCATTTATGTTACAGTATCACTTTTATGGATTGACAATTAATTTGTATTTTGCAGCTGTAGTCATACTGAGGTTGTTTATTCATGTTCAGGATATGTATTTAAAGGCTGCATAAACATATAATTTTCTGTTTGAGTACTTTAATTATAGATTTATTGTAGTTGAATCCTTGTTTAATATTTCTTCAAGGTTTCATTTCAGTGATATAACACAGATCCAACATCAGAATTAAATATCAATGATACAGTAATGACAGTATTTATTTTATACTTCTGTGATTTAACTCTAAAGCCCTGCTTTGACATTCAGTAACTGTTAAGTTTGCTCAAAGGGTGTATTTATGGATGCCATATGATTCTCAGAATTAATAGTGATTAATTCAGTATACAACATTAACCAGTTGATCTTTTTTTGCTGTAGGACTGATGGTTTAAATATCACAGTATTTGGATGAGCCACAACTCCAGAGGGTTCATGTGTTAACTGTAAAGTTTTGCTGTTGCAAATGTTAATGAGGAAATGTCTGAGATCCCTTATTTAAGTATGTGTCATTGATCTATGTTTATAATTTTTCAGGTATTTGACAAAACTTGTACCTCTCCTACACCATTGCTAGAACAACATATGATGTGGGATGACATAGCAATACTTGCACGCTACCTCCTAATGTTATCTTTCAACAATTGCTTAGATGTGGCACGCCATCTGCCATATTTATTCCATGCTGTTACCATCCTTGTGTGTTCAGGGTCTTTGAGTATGAGAGCTGCAACTCATGGCCTGGTTATAAACATAATTCACTCTCTGTGTACCTGCACCAAGCCTTCTTTTAGCGGTAATTTAATTTGCTTCAGTTCTATTAAAATCTAATTTCATTGTCTGTGTAAGTTGCAGTTTTGAAGATAACATTATAATAAACTGACCATATATTTGTTTTTCAACAGAGGAAACTCAGAGAGTTTTACGACTTAGTTTAGATGAATTTTCCCTGCCCAAGTTTTATCTGCTTTTTGGAATCAGCAAGGTAAAGTCAGCTGCAGTCACAGCATTTAGATCAAGCTACCGACATCCAAATGAACGCTGGTAAGTTGTACACAATAATTTCTTTGTGCTTATCTTTGCTTTGGAGAGAGAAATATATTAACAGATACAAATGATTAGTTGCCATTACTTGTTCTTTACTTTTTAATAATTTTATATATATTGTTTTCGAGAAGTAAACATAATGGACCTGAGTGATTTACTTTATATTCTTTGATATTGTATAGATCACCGGTAAAGAGTGATATATGGGTAACAAATTGATTAATTGTATAAAATATATTTTAACATTGACCAATCTACACAGCGCAACAACTCAGAAGACTCACCGCTGTGAAAACCTCCAATCTTACAACATTTTAATTGTCAATAACTTCAAGTGTTAGGCCCAAGTATGTTATTTCTCCAAAGCACTATTATAATATTTTAAATTTTCTTTAAAATAAGTTGATTACTTCAGGAAAATTATTATCTTGGCCATTTACTTGTCTTGTTTATGAATAGGTACACATCTTCTAAAAAGGAAGACCAGGACTACATTTTGTCTGGCTTCTACCCTTTGAGTTGGAACTTAACAGTCCCATCTGCATAACTTCCACAGTTATTATAGTACACAAGTGTCTTAACCACAATTAATTTATTTGTCAGCCCTCATTATTTTACTATGAAAGTCATAATAAACAGATAGACTGGTCATACTCAGGCATACTATTCTACAGGGAGTCCCACATAATTCTGAACCCACCTACTAGCATGCAATGGCATGCTGTCATGGTGAATTACACATTAAGTGGGACACCTTGTGCAATGTAAATATATATACCCCCAGCATATGTAGGGATTTTTCTCAGAATGATGTATTAATCTAGAGACCTTTTCTGTATATCCAGTCTGAGGTTGATGAAGTGTGCAGGTTATGTAGTAATAAAGTAGTGTTAAGTACTAGAGTATCATATTTAATATGAACACACCTCTCATATTTGGTTTTTAGAATCACCAAAGTGTGTTTCTGTTGTTTTTTAAATCTAATTTAATTTTTTTATTTATTTTATGTTCAGATGTTACCACATCATCGGATTGTTAAATTAACTTGTGTCAGAAACACTTTGACTTTTAACACGGACCATGGTTGACTGAAGTAATCAAACTATCTTGAAACACACCTGGACATGCAGTAACATGTGAGGACATGTTCATCGTAGCCAGTGCAGTTTATCTAAGTATGAATTAAGTTACTGTACATTATTTAGATCATGTCTTCTATATTTTAGACATATTTAAACTTGATGCAGGTATGGACAAGAACGAAGTTCATCGGGAACAAACAACTCTGAACGCGAGCAGCTGTCGCTCACATCTCTAGAAGTCATCACTGATGCACTGCTAGAAATTATGGAGGTTAGTGACAAACTTGACTGTTTATATTCTTGAAGCTGAATATTACTGCATTGTGTTAGCAAATGTGATATCTACATTGGGATTGCAAATATTTTCTTACAATAAAATTGTTCAGAAACTGGCATGGTTTTGTAGTACTCTAAAAGTGTTATTATTTTGGCTTCTTGGAAGGAAAAAAGTACTGAGAATGTTATTCTGAAAGTTCATAATAGTGAAGTATGAATTGGAATAATTTCAACATTTACACTTTGTTTATGATCATATGACAAATGTGAATAAAGTAATGTTTTTGAAGATGAAGGCAGTAAGGTACTCTATTTCATCCTCTGAAGTTACAGATGTTGCAATATCTTGTGTAGAGGCTTGATTTTGTTACTCCCTTTTTTATTATTTTCATTTTAGTCTACTCGCTTGTCTATAAAATGCCTTGAGTTTCTTGTTTTGTTGTGCTGTATGTTGCATGATGGTTTTTAATCTACTGTACTGTTTTCTAAGCAAATGAGGTGACTGAGCCTTTCTTTCAGGCATGTATGCGAGACATTCCTAATTGTGAGTGGTTACAGACCTGGACAGCTTTGGCAAAGAGTTTTGCATTTTGCTACAATCCTGCACTCCAACCACGGGCTCTTATTGTATTTGGCTGCATCAGTAAGTAATGTAGCAGTACGTTCATTTACCTCATCCCATGAGTTAGGGTAAATAATCATCCCTACTCATTCACCAATATGAGCTGCTGTACACACATTGTGGTAATTTTGTACTATTAATAAAAACATTGGTTTCCTTTTTGAGTATTAATTTCCTTAATCACAGAAGGGTCTGGTTCAGCCTTTTTTATTTATTTATTTCTTTTTATTAACACATGCTTATGTACAAGAAATGGACAAAGGATACATATAAAAATGTTTTCTGTTGTTTTCGTTACATAAAAAAATTGTCTTGTTGTTTTCCCATGGAACAGCAAGCATACATGGAAATCGGTTGGAAAATTCATCACAAGCTGTCATTTGGAGTCACATCCTAGTCAAACTGATGGTAGCTGCAATTTTGGTTTATGAAAACAGTGTGAGGTGTTTCAACAGACAGATTGCTTCATTATGATAAATAGATATTTTAAAATATTTACTTACACATGTGCAAAGTATAAATAAAACATTGCATTTATTAACATTAAATATTATTAATGTGCTTTCTTTTTTGTTACTCTTACAAATAAAGGTTATGTTGAAAAGCAGTTGTACAGTACATTTGCGTAGTTTTTATTTTAAAGTTACATGCTGCTGCTGTTATATCCATTATACGAGGCTCGTCCACAAAGTAAGTTTCCCTGGGGCCGTTTACAGAAACAAAACACAATTTCATGGAAATATTTATTGCAACAGATACAGCAAGTGTCCAGCTATTTTTCAACATATTCGCCACCGGAATTGAGACATTTGTCATACCGTGGGACCAACTTTGGAATCCCTGTGAAGTCTGCCGCCTGGGATTGGAACCACTGTGTGACAACCATCTCCGCCTCTCTTTCATTCTCAAAACGCTGACGCTGACGCTGACCGGACAGGAATTTCTTGAGGTGTAGGAAAAGATGGAAATCACTGGGAGCGAGGTCCGGGCTGTAGGGTGAATGATTAAACACCTCCCAGCTGAACTTCTGCAGGAGACTTGCTGTCCGTCGAGCCGTGTGCGGCCTAGCGTTATCACTGACCGCACTTCACAGTCGGCGGGGGCTGGAATAAGAACCTCCATCTTCAACAGCTGCAACGATGCTACTGTGAGAACGCGGGAAGTGCCGTTAGTGCATGTGCCATGCTACGTCATTGCTCTATCACGTACGCACAGTCGCTTCGCGCAATATAAGGTTTGCTAGCTGTGGGACGAGTGGGAAACTTACTTTGTGGACGCGCCTCGTATCATCCTTCAGGCTAATTAACTTATTTCCCAGATGTTGTGAAATGAAGAGTAAGTGTCATTTGTGTGGCTATTGGGTATCTTAGTTTGTAAAAAAATGATATATGAAACATTAAATTACTTCTCTCCTTTTCTGCCAGGTAAGAGTGTCACAGATCAGGATATAAAGCAAATCCTCAGGATACTTGTTAAAGCATTGGAGAGCTTCAATGACATCATTCTGTTAGAGGCATTGGTTGTGTGCCTCACACGATTGCAGCCTTTGCTGAGACCAGTAAGTCCATATAACACATACCAGACTTATTTATCAATATAGACACTGTTTTTCTTTTGTCTCTTTCACCCTGGTGTCCATGTCCCAGTACTGTAATTTAATACTGATTCAACAAATTTTTGTTTGATTTCAAGTATGACTCCTGGAAATTATTTTACCAGAGTTTCTGTAAACTTATCCATTTATATATATAAATATTTGCCTTTTATTTTTTGTCTCTTGCTGTATGAGTTTATTAGATATCCTATATGTTTAAATGAACTGTTCATTTTGTGAGATTTCATGGCAATGAACATGTAGATTTTGTTGTTGTGTGTTGTGACACCATGTGGACTCATAGGTAGATTCCAACATTTCAGAGGAACATAATTGTTTTCATCTTCAGCACTGAAGATGGAGACACAATGTTTTTACAAAATATTGGTATCTGCCTACAAGTCTACACAATATAACATCCCAGAAAAACATTGTCAACTGTTCTATTTGTTTATTATTTGCCATAGTGTTACTGATTCTTTCTGTTTAGTTATTAGTAAATATAGGTCCAGGCTGTATAAAACTAGATACTCAAAAATAAGTGCTTAAAATGCAGTTAGAAATTACAGATAGTGAAGCATAAGGAACGTGATGTTTGACTGTGGTGAATAGTTGTTAGTGAGCCGTATTGTACAGCTCTGCATATTTGAAGTGTGTGTATGTATGTTATGTGACATGCTCTGAAGTCATTTCCGTAAACCTTTATCAGTCATCTGAGGAAGACTAATAGCTGTACATTCAAACCTGCTAGGCATGTTACTATAACAGAAAGAATTGTAAGGAATAAGGAGGAAGCATGTTATTTCTGAAGGGCAAAGTAACAGGGTGATAGCAGATGATACCTCTTGTTTTTTGAGGAAGACACTATCATATTTGCTTGGAGATGGAGTTATATCCTTTTGAAATTTGTTGTTACTGAAATTCATTTTCCTTACGGCTTGCTTTAGGAATCACCAATACATCATGCTCTGTTTTGGGTTGGGGTCTCAGTTCTCCAGCTTGATGAAATATCACTTTATGCTTCTGGGTTGGCGCTGTTGGAACAAAATCTACATACACTTGATTCTCAAGGGACCTTTGAGGAAAAGGTGAGTTTGGCTTCTGAATAGAATACTGTAATGGAAACTGCAATTAAACTGTTGTGGGCTATTCAAATTGAAAGATGAATTTATTCCACATAATCATTTCTTTGATAATGCTATCAGTTTACAAATCACAATCTTGCTTATGGATGCCCAGACTTCAATGTGGGTATAAGTAGTTTTATTCTTTTGTTTTCCTCCCTTCTCACAGTCAGTAACTGCACACTCCACAATATAACGTACTTCTCACAATACTCACAATTTGCTCACTTTCATACAACTCTCTTAAATTTGACTCTGAACTGAGTCTGTACCCAACTCTCTTGCTGTGTATAAATACACAGAGATTATCAGAGAAGGCACTACAGTATTCCACCAATTTCCAGATAGCTCATCACAGAAATGGGCAATAAATGCTTTGAATAAGAATCAACAAGAAATTTTTGTTTGAACTTGGGAAAAAATCAAACCAAAATCATCACTGGTGTTGAAAATGGTTTTTTTAGTATGACCCTGAAACAAAGCAGCAGAGCACACAGTGGAAATCTTGTCCTGCCCCAAGAAGGCATGGACATCAAAATCAAAAGTCATGACAGTTTTGATTATTTCTTTGACTGCAGGGGGATAGTGCTCTGATAGTTTGTCCCACCTGGCCGGACTTTCAACCACAACTTTTATCCCCAAGTTTTGGAATGTCTAAGACAGTGGTTTATTGTGAGAAGCCAGAATTGTTCGCAGTCAACTGGATTCTTCATGACAATGCACGCGCATACACAGTGATTTCTGCCAAGGAGGTTCTGACAAAAAATTAATTTTGGTCCTGGAACACCCCACTTACTCACCAGATCTCACTCCATGTGACTTTTTACACTTTTCTATCATGAATCATCTCAAGGGATCACATTTTGAAAGTGTGGAAAAATTGCCATTGTAAACAACTTGGTTTGGTTGTTGAGCAAAAAATCCATATAAATTATATGTGAGCACATTCTGTGAAAGATAATCTGTTAACTTTTTGACGTAAATATGTCTACGGAAGGGTCATTCGGCAAAAACAGCATTACGAACAATTGTTATGTCATCTGTTTATTCGGCATTGTTGTGTTTCATTACTGCCGTCAGCAATCCGCTTTTCTTATTGCGGAAAGAGCTGAACTATGAATCGCTTGTAGAAGAAGTGCGTCGTAGAGTAGATAATATTGTGCTGTTAAAAACGTTTTAGAATGTCACAAGTACTTATCTTATATAAGAATTATTAAGAAATCTGTGATACTGCCCTCCACTCTCTCCATTTTAGTTTTGATTAAATTGATCATTGCCGGTGGACATCGTGGTCTCTTACAATTAAACAAAGTTTGAGGTAAGGGATAAAGGCGCATCACACTTCACGCTACTGCTGCTTTGTGTGTTGCATCATACTATGTAGAGATAACAAGAGGGATGACATTGAAGCTAAAAGAGTCTGTAATGCAGAATATATGAGACAGTACAGAAAATGTAAAAAAAATAGAAGTATTAAATAATGAACCTGAAGTTCCCAAAAAAGTTCCAAAAACTAATGCTGAACTTATGAGGGAATATAGATACCGTAAGCCGCAAAGTAATGCACTGTGTATGAGGGATTATATGGCCACAGAAGGTCATAATACAATGCCCATAATATTGGCAGGAGATTTTAACATTGATTTAAAGAAGGAGGATAATCAAAGCTTTGTCACATTTATGGAGGAAACATTTGGCTTAATGTTCATGTCAAATCCTTAGTAAAGTACTACTAGATCAAAATCTTGTATAGATATGGTGTTTGTACGAAATGTTGTTACTCTAAAGTGCACAAATTCTATAACATATTTCAGCTACCACAGACCCAAATTAAGTGCAACTAATTCAGGTTAAATAAACAATGTCTTAATCAAAGTATTTACTCAATTGTAAAGCTTGTATAAAGGGAATATTCAGAATAAAGCTAATATATAAACCTTTCATTGTATTTATTGCCTAAATATAATTTAAATATAAAGACGTATTTACGTCAGATTCTCCGGAACCATGGTTCCACTGTCAATTTTTTTGTTTCAAAATGTGTTATGTTACATTGTCAGACCCTGGGACAAGTGATGATGGCAACTAGAGAACCTTTGGAGTGGCATTTCAAACAACTTGACCATTCTGTAGGACTGAGCTTCAAATGTGAGTAAAGAAATTTCCTTCAGAATTGATAAAATAATATTAATGATAATTATTATTGTTTTTGTTGATATGCAAATGTTATAAAAACTGGAAACTTGTATGTATGTTTCTTGGAGCAATGTGTAGTGGCATGGTGTAACACCTTTTTTGTAGAACACAAATTAGACAGTAGTTAAAAATCTGTTGCAGAGATAATAACAAAGATTAAAATATAGATGACCTTTTTGCTTTAACATAACACATTCACTCAGTATCAGCTTTTAACATTATCGAACAGGCTATAATATTGCGTATGCTGAAAATCCCCAATTTAAGAGGGAAACAGATATTTTTGTAGCCTGTTTAAGAGTTCTGCATCCTGGAGGTACAGAACCATATGACTTCACAGTTTCAAAATCTGCTAAAATTATTGAAATGTTCAAAATACAATTTATTTTTTCATTTGGGTAAAACACCACGAATGGGTTTAAACTTTGGCATTTCTTTACAGTCTGTTTTTAAATGCCAGGCAGTGTTTGTGTCACAAGGGCTGCACCTCGACCCATCTCTCTCTTTCCTTTCTCTCCCTCTATCTCACACATGCCCACGCGCTCCTATTGGTCCCCACCCACACCTCATTTGACACCTGCTCCCATTGGCTAGGGGCAGGCTACTCCGTTCACGGTCCTAGCCCCATCCATCCAATTGTCGCATTCATTGCCCTGATGATGGCAGTATGACCTCTGAAACGTTGGTAAGAATCTACCGTACTACACAGTGCAACCACCCAGAAGACAGAAATCTGAATACAACCCTTGTAATTGCATTGCCTGTTGATTGAATATCCTGTAACTTTTTCCTTTGCAGCAAATTTCCATTTTGCGTTGGTTGGACATTTATTGAAAGGTTTCCGCCATCCAACTCCAACCACTGTTTCCCGTACAACAAGGATTTTAACAATGCTGCTTGGCATCATAGCTAAACCACACAAACGAGATAAATTTGAAGTGACACCAGAGAGTGTGGCATACTTAGCAGGTATGCACACAAAATGGGTATTATTTTTGTATGTAGTGATGTAAATGAATTCAGGCTGTGCTAATGTGTCTTTTATTAATTTAATTTTATTGCTGTTGTTAATTTGTTTTTTCCTTCAATAATTTGTCATTTTTTAAATTCTTGTAATTGACTTGCTGTTGTCAAGTATTTTAATAAGTAAATACAATTTTTAATATGAATTATTATTATAATCATTATTGTCATTGTAATTATATTTGTACATCTTTCAGTAATGTTGAAGCACAAGAAAATTCATCTCTCATAGCTTATTCACTTTTCATTGACATAGATATTTTAAATTTGTATCAGACATTCTTGTTTTAACTGTGCGCTTGCTCTTTTGCTGTTTATTGTTGCACAATAGCAGAATTGGTCTAGATCAGTGCTTATGAACTGAAGTGTCAACTTGTAAACTATAAATTTTTCCATTGTTAGTATGGTTTATCCTTTATTTTACAGTGTGTTGTTTTTGGACCACAGTATTGATGAGAAGTGTGTGAAAGAGCACATAAATGTGATACTATAAAATGTAATTTTTAACATTTGAAGTTTGGTTTCCAGAGTTGTAACATACTATGATTACCTGTTATTTTATATGGGTGTGAAACTTGGTCTCACATAGATTGAGGATGTTTGATCAAAGTCATGGGAAAGTAATCAGAGAATTAACAAAATTACAGAAAAGAAGCTTCAAAATTTATACTCTTCACCAAATGTTACTAAAGTAATTAAATCGATGCAGATGATGAAGGCAGGGCAGCTAACATGCACAAATGAGAAATTCCTCCAGAACTTTAGTTGTAAGACATTGATATGAAGACACCACTTGTAAAACAGAAAGACATGTAAGAATAATATTAAAATTTATGTTAAAGAAATAGGATGTGAAGCTATGGATTGAAAATAACTGCCTCAGGATAGTGTCCAGTGACAGGTTCTTGTGAACTCATTAATGAATCTTTAAGTTCCAAAAAAGGCAGGTAATTTCTTGATCATCTAAGTGACTATCAGCTTCTCATGAAGTGTTATTAACTCTTTTGGGTTAATAACATACTTGCTTGTTTCAGCATTGGTGTCTGTATCAGAGGAAGTGAGAAGTCGTTGTCATGTGAAACATTCATTAGCAAGAATGATACCAGAGTCAAGTTCTGGTGAGAACTTTGCTGTTGACAATCACCTTAGTCTTATGCCACATGTGAGTACTCTTCATAGGATCATTTTACACTAAACAGTTCTTACAAATATTAGCAAATTAAAACAAATAAATATACAGGGTGATTCAAAATGTTAGGGCCAAACTAAAGGAGCGTATAGAGGGACTCGGAGAGAACAACTTTTGAATAGGAATTCATGTCCAAAGTTATCCCGAGTCAGTCGTGGCCATTGAAGGTAGGGAAGTCTGATAACATACCGCTGAAATAATCGTCCTTTGCTATTCTCCTACTAGCTTCATTTTGTTTTTTATTAATGTACAGTAAAACCCCTCTAGTTGGACACCCCTTTATATTGGACACTTTTAATTGGAACTGGCGAATATCCTATAATTTTACATATTCACAATACCCTATATCTTGGACACCCCTTTATCCTGGAACTTGGTCACCCCTTTTTATTGTAAGTTGGACAGGTTCATGCACTTAACTTCGATGCTTTTATGGGAAACAATTACATTTAGTATTTTGTTGTTTTGAATTTCTGACTGATGAATGCCTTCTACCTGAGGATTTGCTTATGGTTGAGGGTGTGAGACATTGAGCACATCACTGGAATGCAGTGAAAGTGTATAGTTTTTCTTTTGTTAAACACCTCACTGGAGTTTAAATTTTGTCAGTACTGTGCTTGCAACTGAGTTAAACAGTGTTAACAGAAATTGGAACGGTATGCTTTCGCTCTTAATCAACCAGGAATGGTTGAAACTTTATTTGGATTGCGGTGAAAATTAGAAAGAGGACGGGCAAATTCCAAGATGAAAGCAAAAAAGCAGTGTCTTGTGATGGGCTTTTTGCAAGAAATAAGTGACATCATATGTTGAGCTAATGCCTTAAGTACAATTAAAAAACATACATTCTGAACATTTAAAATTTCATTGAGGCTGGGGTGTAATGTGCAACCATGAGAGTGGGTTTTAAAAGATTATTATTATTGTCATTAATTCTTAATTCGAGCAAGCCTACAGTAGTTAGATTATGTAAAATAGAAGACATTGTCGGTAAACGTAAAGTATTGGCGCCCTTCCCTTTGAGCTTATCCATGCAAGTTTAATTTATTGAAAACAAAATTTGTAAAAATTTAATTTACCCTTTTGATTTTTCTTATCAGTAATTTCCTTTTTGTGAAGGGCTTCATAATACTTTACAATTACCACATTGTTATTACACGACAATTTGAAAGGATGATTTTCCCCTTTCCCTCTATCTTGGACACCTCTGTAAGTTGGACGCATTATCGTGGAACTGCAAGTGTCCAAGTTAGAGAGGTTTTACTGTACAAGGATTACATTACAAACCAAACTTACAACAGGTGTTCAAAGTGGCGTCCTCCACATTCAATGCAGGCATTGCATCGGCCCTTTCAAATACCCCAGGAGTCTCACGGACCATGTCAGATGCAGCAAGTATTCTGGCCAAAAGTTGTTCTGGGTCATCCCCAGTGTCTCGTAAACGAGGCTCTTGACATGCCCCCAAAAGTAGTAATCGTCCTGACGGAGGCAGTATAACCTCTGAAATGTTGGTAAACATCTACCAGACTACACAGCGCAACAACCCAGAAGACAGAAATCTTCATACTCACCGCTGTGAAAACCTCAAATCTTACATGAAAAAAAGAATGCTACATACATGATCTATGTAAGAACTTAACAGTGAATCCTTTATTCTAAATATGTATTTGTACTTTATATTTGGCATTTGTTTGTTGCAGCCCCCTGCTGCTAGTGTTTCACCTGCTATGCATGCAGTGTCAACATCAAGTCCTTCCCAACGAAGTGAAATTAATAATGGACAGTGTAATCACCAGCTGCAGCAGCACGGAAGTGGTGCAGGTACCCCAACCAATAGGAGACAGAAGTCATGGGATCTTTTGGACCAAACGGCGATAGCACAGGCAAGACAACAAAAGCAGCATGCTCAGCAGCAAACTCAGCATCAGGTGAGCAAAATAGAATGTATGTCCTAAAAATATTGAGAATCATGTAAAGAAAATAGTAATATCACACTGTTTGAACTAAAACCTGATAAAGTACAACATATGAATTGAATAAAATTAGAGCAAATGCCTTCAGAGCATAGGGCAACACACATACAACAAAATGTCTACATAATGACTTGTAGTGAGATATAGTACAATTAAATTATATTGTATAATAGTAACTGTCATATAAGAGCATTTTGGTTCTCTAAATATTTCTCTGCAGGTTTGAACACAGTTTGTTAACACTGTAAGCTTTGAAAAGAAGTATCAGAATCTTCATTTGAAAATGTCATGTTGTGGTTGGAATATGTGGTGTTACTTCATATTGCTGTCTCTCAAGTCTTTCCTCTGGCAAATGCTCCTCCATTACTCAGTTAATTTATAAATATTACATAATTTATATTTAAATGAAAAGAATTGTGGTATTTAGAAACCAAAAATTGGAAAATTGTCAGCCAGGAATCTTCAAGTGATGTAACTCACCTGCCTAGTTTCAGCAGTCCTGCAGATTAAATCCAGATGCCAGCAATCCTGAGCAAAATTATTTTGCAAATTGTCTTAGTCTGTCTCTAGCTGCAATAATTATTTAAATTGTCCTTGAACATTTCCTTATTCACATCCTGTTTAATCTTATCCTAGCACCATGTCATTGTTTAATGTAATTTGATTCTGTTATCTTTTATAAAAGAGAAATGCTTGTTGAGGTAGGTAAATATGATGTGGAAATCAAAAGAAAGAACACATACCAATGTGTATGATATCAAAATAGAAAATAACATTAAATATTGCATGATTATTCCTCACTCACTTGTATATAATATTTATATTTGTTTTTGTGTGTTAGTGTGGCTTGTCACTGTAGTGTAAATAAATCCACAATAATGCACAATCATTGCCGGGAAAGTGATACTTCGTTTGCAGAAGTGTTAGTCTGACGAGCATTAGATGATAGATTTGTTCCTAGGATCTTACTGGCTACTTCTGTGATTTCTTATTGCTGTCTCAGACTTCTCTCTCTGAACCTTTTGTCTGTCCATGACCCTAGTAGAGAGAGGTTCTGAGAATAGCATACCTCCAATTATTAATAAATTATTTGGTAGTGGTTAATCTAAAGCAATCATATTAAGCCTTAATTTTGTCAAAAGAAACAATTTTTATCTGTTCTTGTCAGGTAGCTTAAGTGATAACTAATGTAGTAAAGAAATGTAATTATATGCCTGTTATTTGTTAATATGTATTTATTTCCATATCATCTTGCCGCCTGAAATTATGCAGTTTTAGTCTTTTCATAATTGTTTATTCACCATTCATGAAACATGAATCGAAATTCATCATTCTGAAATGAAAATTAATTCAAGTCAAAGTCATGTCATGTGAATACCATTCACTTAGATGTTTTCAAGGAATGCCTCATATTGAAAATAAAAGTCTCACCTCCTGTGAGACATTTACTGTGCCAGAGTTCTTCATAATTGATCTGTTAGAAATAGTACCTCTTTAAGTTCTTTATTTCTTAGTCAATAACAATAATTATAGTTGCAGAGGCTTATTGTCAGATGAGTATGGTTGAATGATTGTTTGTGAACAGCAAGTTAAATGGAAGAAAGCCTATTGAAAGTGCGATCTTGTATTCAATTGAAGGGACTGGAGGAAATCACAGAAACTCCAATCAGGACATCTCGACTCCCTTCATGGGATTCTAATCTATGTACCTCCAAAATGCAAAGCATGTGCTCTGCTAATGAGACAGCTGTTTCCATTTGAAAGTAGGAAGTGAAGGCTGTTGAACTACAATTAATCCTTTGTAATCTGATAAGTGTTTAATCTAAAGTATTTATCAGTACATAGATATCTATGTTTTACCTAAAGAGAACCGTTTTCCTTCCACTTTTCTAGTCTCCAGGCTAAGATTTTAAATTGGGACCTTCCAAATACAATGCAGAAGTGTTAATCATTCATCCTCAACATTTGGTAATATATTGTGTATTTTACCACATGTTCATATATTGTATAGCCTTATAAACAAGATGTCATTAAGTATTATTAAGGGTTTAAGTTTTAATATGGGTCACATTACAAGACATACATGATATGGCTATTGTTAGGATTAGCTGGCTAAAGACAATATTATCCAAATCATGATGATAAAGTTCAAAATAAAATGGTTTGCAAACACATTTAGGACATATGTCAGCTAACCATAATGCACTCTTTTAATATTGGTTGCTTAACACTGTCCACACCACCTAGGTAATGTCAACAATAACCTGTTAATGCTGACGGCTGAATTTCAGTCTTTAGCCATATACAGTGGACCCTCGAACTTTAAACGGTTTGATGTTCGAACAACTTGAAACTTGAACAAAAATTTGAGGAAAATCCGGTTTTGAAACTCGAACAAAAACTTGAAAGTCGTCACGTGGTCACCTTCTCTCTCTGCTAGGTTGCACGCGCAGTTGCTCGGTCAGTTCTCCCGTGACTGGTTCAGTGAGCATTTCACAAATTCCGTCTGTTTTTTAAGCATTTTATTTATTTCTTTGGGTAATTTTTATATTATCTTTAATAATACCCATTCATAATGGCACCAAAGAAAGTTACTAGAGGTGAAAAGCCTAAGAGAAAAATCGTAATTTCTACGATAGAAAAGAAAAAGGAACTTATCACAAAGTGGGAAAGTGGTACACGTTTATCGGACCTGGCTGCTCAATATGGCATGGCTAAGTCGACCGTATCGACCATACAGAAGAACAAGGAAGCCATTAAAGTGGCTAATGTGGCAAAAGGGGTAAAAACCCTTACCAGTAAAAGATTGCCAGCAGTGGAAGAAGTGGAAAAACTTTTAATGGTTTGGATCAATGAAAAACAGTTGACTGGTGATAGTGTGTCTGAAGCCATTATGTGAGAAGGCTAGACATCTGTATAGTGACATTACAAAGGATACCCCTGGTGCTGAAGAATTTAAGGCTAGTAAGGGGTGGTTTGACAATTTTAAAAAAAGAACAGGCATTCATAGTGTGGTTAGGCATGAGGAGGCTGCCGAAAAATTTGTGAGGGAGTTTAAAGACTTTTTGGATAAGGAGGGTTTTATTCCCGAACAAGTATTCAACTGTGACGAGACAGGCCTCTTCTGGAAGAAAATGCCGAAGGGGACCTACATCACAAAGGAAGAGAAAGCCTTACCAGGACACAAGCCTATGAAAGATAGGTTAACCCTCCTTCTATGCGGTAATGCTAGTGGGGACTTCAAGATAAAACTGCTGCTAGTGTACCACTCAGAAAACCCCAGGGCTTTTAAGAAAAACAATGTGCACAAAAACAGGCTTAGTGTAATGTGGAGGTCAAATCCTAAATCCTGGGTAACTAGGCAGTTCTTCACTGAGTGTTTTGAAGTTTTTGCCCCTAGTTTGAAGAAATATCTGGAGGAGAAAAATTTACCTCTCAAGGCCCTTCTGGTGTTGGGCAATGCACCTGCACGCCCTCCAGGATC